AGGCGGGCCCTGCGGCCGGGGGCTCCGGGCGGGACCGGGGAGCTTGCCTGCCTTGAACTCCTTGTCTGATACGCAGCTGCGAGAGCGAGTTCGGTAGGCCTTGTTTAGAGCGGGGAACGTGGGGAGTTTTCGTGGCCGCGCGGGAAGGCAACTGCCGCGGAAAGAGAGCGCTTCTGCCTACAGCCGTGGCAGCGTAGACGTGGCATCCGTGGGAGCACAACTCTAGCTAAGTGCCGATTGCTGCACACTGAAACTTACTGCGGTTGAATCGCCGAGATACCGGCGCACGCAATCAGAGGCTTGTGCTGTGGCGCATCTTTCGTTATCGCAACGAATCTATTCAACACAGAAGTTCTCATTTAACTAACGGTTAAGCTTTGTTACAACAGCCCTGGTTTTTAGTAGAAGTAGCTGTCCTAGAAGGCTTGAACTGTTTGAATGGTGTGTTGGTTTAAGTCAGAGCCTCTTGAGAGTGCAGGAATGTGTTCCTGTTTGTATGATCAGGTAGCAGTGCTTTTTATTGCATTCGGGTTTAGTTTGGAAAGCTGCTTTAGTCTGTGTTGCAAATACGTTAGTTTTTGTTTATTTTCTGTTGAAGAATGCTCTTGGAAGTGAGTTATTTTGCTTCTCAAGTCTTATTTTTTCCTTCAACGTGTCTGGTAGGGTTATAACTTGTATGTTATATGGTTGAATAAATCCATTTTTGTGGCTAGCAGAGCATGCAGTTCTAATTCACTACTTAAGGGGATTTATGGACTTGGTCCAGGCTGTTGATGGTGTCTGAGCTGTTTGCCATTTGCAGAAGTCAGAATGGGCATTGTCTTGTCAACACACTACTCCTCAGTTGCTTGAAGCTTGGAGTGAGTGTACAGTCTGTATAATTAGAGCTGCTTTAGTTGTGATGATTGAGTCCTTTTGTTCCTGAAATTCTAGAAATGAGCTTTAGCCCTGATCTGGTTTAAGGCTGGGAAAGAGGAGTGCTGCCTGTTAGTGCGGAAATGGAAAACACTTTTTTTTTTTCCCCCTCCTTTTCTTATATTTCCTCTTATATCTATTTTAACATAGATATCAACTTAGGTGAGGAAACTCTTATACTGTTCACTTTCAAAAAAAGGCCCCATTGTTTAAATGGTAACTCTCTGAGAGACCTGGAAGACCAGATGTTGAAACATACAGAGGTGAAGAGAATTGTCTTAACACAGTAAATTGCAAGGTAGTTAGGAGCTACATTTACACTAGACGATGTTGCCTCCAAGTGTATGGCAAATGGTCAATTCTCAGAGGTGTTTTAATAACTAGAGCAACTTATTGATCATTAGCTCAAAATATATTGGTTGGAATGTTGTGTAGTTGAGAAATCGATGGCTCACAATGTAGCTGAAATGTAAGATTTTGCTTGTCTTTGGGTATCTACAGAAATTATGCAGAGGCAAGGAAATGTATGGTTAAGTTGTGATAATATATTGTTTCCATCTTAAAAGGGTTTGGAAAAGCTGTTTTTATTGTTGCTTCTGAGAACATGACTCACTCACTTTGGTTTGTTTTTTTAATTTAGGATGGATGCAACTCTGAAAGAGCTGACCAGCTTAGTGAAAGAAGTCTACCCAGAAGCACGGAAGAAGGGCACACACTTCAATTTTGCAATTGTTTTTACAGATCTCAAGAGGCCTGGGTATAGGTAAATGGTATTTCTTCTCTGGGTTAACAGAAGACTTCAGGCACTGGAGCAATAAATTATTTTTCATTACCACTTGATTTTTGAAGTTCAGAACTCACATATCAAATTTCTGAAGTTGTTGAGAACAGACTATATGATGACCACTGCAAACTCTAAATTTTACTTGGTGGCCTTCATTGCTAATGTGTTCCCAAAACAAACTGTGTGCTTGAAAGCTTTGATCACTGTATTGGTAACCAGGCAGAACACGGACCTACAGCTTGAGATAAAGCTTTGTTTCTGGCAGTATGAGGCGTGATAGGGCTTGTGCCTGAGAATGCGTTTGAGTGTTAGCAGTGATCTTGTTGTAGATGTCTTCCAAAACAATATGAGCTAAACTTTGGCAGCAACCAGTGGCTATACCCTGCTCTGTAATCTATGGAGTCTTGTTCTGTGTCTGTGTGGAAGGAGGCAAGGGGTTCTCTCTGGTATTTAACTTCACACACCCCTCTGTCCCATCAGAAAGAGGATTTGGTGTAGATTTTCTTGGTACACCTGAAACTGGAGAGAAAAACCCCAGCATCCTGAGTACGTAGCTAAATACAGGGCAGAGCATGGCACAGGAAGGTTGTCATGACCCAACACAGTTCCTGTTTTGGACATTTAGGAAGATTTGCCTCTGATAAACAACTTGTCTTTCCTCTCCTGCATGCAGGGTGAAGGAGATTGGCAGTACCATGTCGGGCAGGAAGGGCACAGATGATTCCATGACACTGCAGTCTCAGAAATTCCAGATAGGAGACTACTTGGATATAGCAATTACTCCTCCGAATCGTGCACCGCCCCCATCAAGCCGCATGAGACCGTACTAAACTACTGCTGCTTTGTATGATTACATCTTTATTCCTACTTGCTGTTCTAAAGCAGGCTTATTTTTTTTTGCTTTTGTTGCTAAGTGAGAACACCTGAAGACAAAGCTAAGCATCAGAAATTGAAGTTAACTTTTAAACCTTAACTTTTAGTTTGTTTAGAAGAAACACTTACCTTTAGCAGTGCCATCATTCTATCCCTGATTGTTATAGTTTGAACAGTAAGTCAGTATGTCCAGTGTTTCAAGATTTCCATAAAATACGACCAGGAGGATTACAGGTGTTCTGTAGTTCTGTCTTGTTTGGAATAAAGATTGATGTTATTAATCTTTTGATAGTGTGGTGGTGTTTGGGTTTTTTTTTTTATTTCAAAGTGGATTTTTGCAGAGAAATTCCAAAGTTGGCTTTTAAGCAGAAATTGAAATAGAAAGAAGCGCCAGAGCCTTTCTCTAACTTCTGGGCTTGATGAGTAGTGGCCTGATGGGGATTCCTTGTACAGAATTTCTTAAACCAGAGCTGGCTGGATTTTGGAGGATGAGCATGTGAGCAGTGTGGTCAGAGGCAGGCAAGGTCAGTGTTACTCTCCCTGCTGACGCAGGTACACTGACGGGAATGTCGGATGTGAGCTGTGTAAGACTGTGGGTCCTGCAGGATCATGAGGGGAGTCAAGGCAGCCACTATGGCTTCCAGGGGGATACTCATTTTGTGCCATGATGATGCCATTCTGTGGGCTGGGAGTGGTCTTGGTGACGCCAGTATATCCCAGGATACTGAGGAGCTGCTGCCCTTAGCAGAGGAAGATGTGGTTCAGCATGCTTGCACATTGGCCTTACCTGAGGTCTGAAGAACTAGTGTCTTTAAAAATGGAAGCTGTCTTTGAAGGTCTTGCATTTCTTAGAACAGTGGTCTCCAAACTTTTGTGGATTGCACACCTCTATCAGTAAAAAATCTCCGTGTGCCTCCCAAATGATTTATAAATTACATCTAATACTGTACTAGTATGTACATTATGAAACTATATAAAAAGTATGGCACCCTACTTGTGCATGTACCACATTTGGAGATTGTCTTGTCTTTGGCTTGCCTTTTGCACCCCCCTTTGGAGTCAACTTTGGAATATCTGCAGATTGGCCAGAAGAAATCTGGTGTTTTCAGAATGAGGTTGACCATGGAGCAGGCAGAACTATTTCCTAATGAAAATACAATGGTGGGTGCTCTGTCTGGAGAGGCTCTTGCCTGCAGTTTAGATGAACCGACAGGAGGTGAGGCAGCAAGTCTGTGCTCTGGCAGTACATGTGGGAGTCCTCACCACGGGATGGTTCTTGGCCAAGTGAACCTGTGGGGTGGAGGCAGGTGACTTGCATACCTACATCCCTTGAGCTCTTGACCACAAGCAATATATTGTCAGCAATGACCAAGAGGACAAGATGCAATTTTGACTTACAGAACTCCAAGGAATGTGAATATTGTATCTTCTTCCCCTTATGTATTCATCAGATGAAGATAACTATGATTTTGGACCCTAACGCTGACCAGTCCAAGCTGAGTAAATTGCAAGGTGGCTTTTCACAAACACTTGCAGCCTGTATTGAGCACTCGTTTCTCAATTTATGGTTACCCTTGGGTGGTGGGGCAAAACCAAGGAGCTGCAAGGTACTGAGGTTCAAGGCTGTTCCATGTTAAGTTACTGATGAAGCTGGAGGGTGTTGGGGGTGTCTAGCAGCCAACTTCTAGTATCTCAAAATAGGGGAAGGGGTGGCTAAAGCATCTCAGTTGTCCATGGGGAAACTGTAAGGCTGGTCTGTGATGTTGCCTGGTACCTTCTTCAGGAGCAGGAGAAAGAAGGGGAGACACACCTCCCAGCAAATCAGTGCAACATGGGAGGGGTGGGCCCTATGGCTTCCCACAGCTCAGTGCCAGCTTCTGTCACTTCAGGGGAAGATCTTGAGACAGGCAGGTGCCTCTGTCTCACAGCAGGCTCCAGCTGTCCATGGGCTGTCTGCTTCTGCCAGCTTACCCCAAGCATCCAGCTGGTCCAGAGAGAGCCAGACAGTTTTCTGTACATTGTGTCCCTGTGTGCTGAAAGAAAGGCAAGAGCAGGAATAGAAGCTGTAATGGCTCCTTAGAGCCTTCACCTTCACCAGCAGAAGCCAAGACTGAAGTAAGTGTTCTTGTCTGCTGAGGACAAGGCATGCTTTATTTTCCACGAGCTGTGATTTCTGTGTGGTGTTTTTTTTTTTTTTTCCCCCTCTCAGGAGTCCCTCAGTGCAGCATAGCCTGATAGATTTTAGGTTCAGTTCTGCCCCCTTTCTCTGGCTTCTAAGTTAGGGAGTTGCAATTTCAGCCTTCATGAATGACCCTCATCTGTAGAATCACCTGTGTCTGAGTCACTTGTTCCCCTAAGATCAAAGGGGTTGAAAAGTGCAGTGGAGCTGGTCTAACATGGCCAGACATGAAATGGGTGGGATGTTTTGCAGGGTGAAGGCAGTCACCTCTGGTGCCAAGGAAGAGGCTCTCTGCAATACACTGAGGTGCCCAAGTGTCATAACAGCTCAGTGACTTCTGTCACCAGGGGCAGGTTGGGTCAGGCTTGGGGCATCTATTGCCTGCGTGCTGGATCATGGCCATCAGATCAGCCGTCTGTTTTTTGGTACCTTAAAGACCTTGGTAGACAGAGAAGTGAAGACCACTGCTAGGTGACTGGCTCACTGTAGGATGTCATCTGTGCTGCAGAATGAGTGAGGTGAATCTTGCAATACCCAGCAATTACAGAATTGCACAGCCTCCCACCAAAGGCAAAGAGACCTGCCATTAGAGGTATACAGGAATATGGGCATTTCTTCAGTTTTGTGTCCTGGTTTTTGCTTTAATTGCATTTAAGGATAATTCTCAAAATTAAATGTAGGTAACATATAAGGCAACAGCAGCAAGTGAGCCTGTGCCTGTGATTCAGCTCCTCTGGGACAGGGCTTGGCTTTGCTGCTGGAATGGGGGATGTAGCCCAGTGAGGGCTTGTGCCTGTGCAGCCTGGGGCAGGTCTTCACACAACTTTAATTTGGTGGCCCATGAAGCACAATCACCAGGAAATGAACACAGAACTGCCTTCTGTAGGAAATACTTCAGCTTGATTGCTTAGGTGTGGAGTTCACATGACTGCTATGGAAGTACAAACCTCAGGTGACCTCTTGCCCAGCTACTTCAGACTAAACATCTCTTGAGAAAGACATTTGCCCTCAAACTTGCACTTCACAGAGAAAGGTAATGCAGAAGTGAAGAGCATTCAACTTCCTGTATCCCTTCAGAAGGGCTGGGTTGTTCAGGACACTCACTGGGGTATTTCCAGTCTTACAGAACTGACAGGCTTAAGTTAGAGATATCTTGGCCCAAAAACTCACTTGACTCTTCAATACTTAGCAAGAGAATCCAGTGACTTCTGCAAGTGACAGCTTCAAGGGCATCTCTGGGTGAGTTCCTCATAGTGCTGGCTGAGGCATGAATTCCCCAGCCCCTGCTTCAGGCAAAATATGAGTTAGTGTCTTCAGGCTTGAAGATAATGGCAGGTCTGCACCTGGCCCAGACCCCCCTGCTGTGTACACTGCTTAAATCTAAGTATTCCTTTCCTTGAGTCCTTGGTGCACATTTGAGAGATGTAGAGAGAGATGTAGACAACTCTGCCAGCTGAGCAAGAGATAGGAGCAGGTGTAGCCAACCCTTTTCTTCTAGTCTTCTGCTAAGATATTCCAGCTGAAAGCAGTGAAGCACAGACCCCAGGCTCCAGAGGACAGGAAGGGAGAGCCCCAGCAGCAGTTCCAGGTAGGGCATTTGCAGAACAGCACCAGGTACACCACAGTCCTGCACCACCACTCCTTATTACCTGCTTGCTCAGCTGGGGCTCTGCATGGTCCTGCAGTTCTGGTCTAGCCTGGGGCCTGCTAGCAAGGATGCCATGCTCCGGCTGCCTTTGGTTTAAGAACTGTGCTGGAAAGTAGGAGGCTTATGCTTGAAAGGGAGAAGGGAAACACATGCATATGAAAGTACTAAAGGTTTGAAATACAGTCCTACCAGCACATCACAGCAGCCTACATGGACAGGAACAAACCGCATCACTCTGCACCTATAGGGCCTTCCAAGGCTATAGGCTTCCACCCATAGGCCACCCTTCTAAGGGGGAGGTTTGTCACAGTAGATGTGTCCCCTCCAGACTAATTCATGCACAGCCACCCAAGCACTTATCCTGGGGAGGGGGGTTTGGGAGCAGGAGTGCTGTGTTGAAGAGGAATTGCTTCAGCTGCCATGGAGGTGCTCATGCAACAGCCACCTTGGGAAACATTACCAAAGCACCCAGACAGATGGGGTACAATGCACCAAGCAACTTAAACTGCCAGCAAAGAATGTCCTGGCTCCCACTTCCCTGCCCTTTCCCTTCTCTTGCTTCAGCGCCCACCAGTGCCTTTGCAAGTGAGCAGAGATTTGGGGCAGCACAGAGTCCATGAACTATTTAACCATGAAAAACAACAAATAGTTTCTGGTAGTTAGGTAAGCAGAAATGGCTTTCCCTACAGCCACCAGGGCAGTGATGCAAGTGAGGGTGTGGGACCTGCAGCTGCGGAAAGGCAGGACCATGCAGCAAGGCCTGAGATTGGTTTATAACAATTGCAGAAGCAATGATTAGGGAGTTTCACCACAGGGCTTTAAGCTAGGAATACATTATGCCAAAAATTAGAAAAGTATTTGAACACCTTCCTGCCAGATGTTCTGCAACCTGTCCTTTGCTTGGTCTCTCCCCAGGAGAAATGCCCATGTAGCACTCTATCTTCCATGGACCACTTCCTGTGTGTGCACATTTGTGCTATTTTTTTTTTTTTTAAAAAAACTCTTGAACTTGAATTAGACAAGATCAAAGAAAGTCACAGACCTGGTCAGCTCCCTATCTTGATGTCAACTGCTCTTTTGTAAAAGTGGGTATTACCGTGTAAGAACAGGATGAGGTTTCACGTTTAAGTTGATAACACAGCCACTTCCTGGTAGAAAGTTGTATTCCTGGGGGTTAATGTACATGTGATTCCACAGTGCGGCCACTGGATGTTGTCATTGCTCCTTATAAATGCCACAATATCTATATTACTATCCCATAGAGAAACAAGGTACTCCCAAAATACAAGGCAGCTCCAACATCAGCTACAGCTGTTAATGGAGCACATGCAACCACCATGAGTACTGGAACATCTGAATAATGACAGCAGGAAATACAGCAAATATCACATCTTACAGCAAATTTAAAGCATCATGGATTCTTTAAATAAGCAAGGAAGCCTGGACTCCAGTTATTGCTCCAGTGATTTATAAAAACATCAATAAAAGCACAACAGAAAGCACTAAAAGTGATGCTTGTCATTTATCCATTTGACAACCATTTGGGAAGTTTCATTTCACTGCAAGATCTATATTTGTATTTAATCTCTGGCAAAATATTTCCAAACTAAGAAAGTACTGACCACCTTAGGGGGGTTTCCTAGGCAGAACAGTGAGAATTTCCTTTAACAACAAATGGGATTATGGATAAAAGTTTGTTAGCCAACACATTTTATATACTTTAAAAAAATGAAAAAAAGGTTAAGAACCAAAGTAAATGAAGAAAAACTAAAGGCTATGTTTTTTTGGTTGCTCCCCAAATGTCCTTCAATATGGAAGTACAGTTTTGTGATTGGTTCAATCCTTTCTGACCGAAGGCTACTGCTCTAAGATGTGATCCCATTCTCACCTTACATCTGATCTACCACTCACACATGTAGAAGTAGAGTCTGAGATTACTGTTGGGGAGGACAAACTAGAGGAGAAAACAAAATTAACTGGCCTTTCTGGCTCAGCAAATGGAAGGAATCCATTGTAAATGGATTGTAAAACTGCATAACCCCTAGATTCTGTGACAAGTGGTGAAAGCCTCTAGTGGAAGCAGCCCCCACTTAAACTAAATTAAGCACAACACAGAACTGTACCCCAAGTCAATTTTGCCTGTTTTCAGGTGATGACTGACCCTTACAGAGCTACCATGTTTGCTACTTATTTAGCTACTGTTTATCCAACTGCACCTTTGGACAGGCCAGCAGAGCTATCAGATTCACCCCACATCACACCAACTTATAACTTGTTTTAAATTCTTTTGCATTATTCCCACTCTGACATGTTACATTACTTTAGCACACAGTGGGACGAGCCTTTTTTCAGCAGCAATACTGGCCTAAGTGGAGTTTTACCCTCCTTCAGCCCCATGGCTACATCCTTGGTTGTTCCTGCATTTGCACTTCTGCAGTTTATCAGATGGCCATACAGCCACCTGTGTGAAAGAACTGATCTGAGTAGGAAAAAACCCAAAAGACAACAAAACTTTCCCTCCCCAGCTTATTTTGAACATAGATAAGCCTTCGACACTGCTTATGCTTTCACTTCCAACAATTTTTCTTCCCCTACCCTCATACTCAAGCCACTGCTTCAGCCTTACTGAAATCTGAACAGTTTTCAAGGGTAAAGCACAACAAATTAAAACTAGTTTTTGGTTTGCTGCTCTGATTATATCCACCCCAGATCGATGCTCCTGCTACAAAGAAGAATTAAGTACAAACAGCTATATTACTTGTATTAGGGCAATATTGTAGGCAAGAAAAACAAAACTAACTTAATTTTTAGATTCCAAAGTCTCATGTCAGCATCAGAATAGCTTGAGTAGACCAGAAGATTTTAAGATTTCCATTGTCATCTTGAAGACAATTTGTATCTCAAAATATTAATTGAAGCTCTTTCATATTAGCTAATGATGCAAGTGGCTTATGGTGAAAACCCTGGCACTGCTAGGTACAACTCTGCAGTTCCCTAATAGAGGAAAGCGCAGTGGAGCACATAGTAGTTCTCAAGTTTAGGGAATGGTCATTATAAGGCCTTTATGGAATTTCCTCAGTTGAAGGGGGGGCGGGTGGGGAGTACAGCAAGGTCCAGGACAGCAGTGCTGCTTGTTCCATTCTAAGTTCAATGGACTCTTTCAGGATATCTGGCTTGCTTCAGGGCAAGGGAGGAGCCATGAAGTGCTGTGGAAGAACGCAGGCTGTGAAATACCTCCTGTTTAGTGCTGGTAAATCAGTCTGGCTGAAAGATTTTTCTTCTGCAGCAGAATACTTTGTACCTTTTTAATACCATGAAATTCCATGACTAGCATCCAGCTCATTATATTTTTTTAGTCTGTAAAGACGTTGGAAGCTGGTCTGGCCTTCACTCTCTGAAGCAGTTGGATAGAACAAATAAATGTTTTCAGAGCAGCAGATGATTAGTTTTTCAAGCAGTCAGCAAGCATCTGAGACTGAATACTAATAAAAAAAAAAAAATTGTGTCGATAAAGCTCAAAGACTGACACATAAATATACATACTTATTTTTAAAAAGAAGCTAGCACATAAAAGTGACAGTGCGCTCAGGCCAGAACTAGTACAAAATAAGCCTCTGCAGTTATTTTGATGTATGCTCATCCTGGAGAATGACTGGAATAGCAAGAAAAAGGCTCCTTTACTTCCTAGGTTTTAGCCAGGACAAGTCTGCCTAAGCAACTAGAGAAATACTTCCAGGCATCTCCAGATGTCTGCATATCCTGAGGACTTCAAAAAAATATTCAGAAAAGCATACAGTTGTCCCCATCTCCTGGTGTTGTGAAAGACAAAAAAATTTTTCCTCATACAATCTGCAGCTCACAATCTAAGATTTGTTTTGTAACCAGGATCAGTATTGCTATAAACAAACTTATGGTTGCTTAGTTCTAGAATAGAACTATTGTATTGTTAAGATTTATGACCAACAGAATGGTGATCTGAAACCATGCTGTAGAAAGTATCTATTTTTGTGTCCTTTAGGTGAACTTAGCTCACTATAATGTGAAAACCACACCTCTGTAGTTTAATGGACCTATCTCTTCAAGAAGCCTCTCACTCTTTGAGCTTTTGTACCTTAATAGGTAGATACTGTGACTTTAAATGAAAGCAAGGAATAAAACTAGCCAACAGATGATATGATAGCCAATAGTTATGTATAGGAGGTATGTGCTTGTATGTTCAGAATCAAATAAATGCGCTCTATGTTTGTAAGTCAGTGTGCTGGCTGCTTTGGATGCCAAACACCCTTTTCCACGCAGAACTGTAATAAATACAAATATCTCACCCCTGTGTGTTAACTGGCTCTTTACAGAACTCTGTTTTTTGGACAACACTCAGACAGTCTGTCCCTTCATGTGCTGCATGCCTGCCCTCATATAAATGACAGCATTTTAGCCATCAACAGGAAGACAATGTACAGCTGGTAAGAGCAGTCCTGGAGTCACTCACAGGAATAGCTGACACTGGGAACAGCAAATTGGCTCCCAGTGGCTCGGATTCCTTGTGGACAAAAGTAAGATCTCTGGTAGAAAAAGGTTCTAATTAATACAACTACCAGATACCCCCAAAAAAAAAGTGTCAAAACCCCTTGAACTTCAGCTTGGTCAGCTATTACAGGGATAGTTGTTCATATTTAGAAGTGACACCACCACTTAGAGAAGGCACATGGCAGCAGTGCAGGAGAGTAAGCAATCACCTACACGCCTGCCAGCAAATCTTTCCAGCAGATCTGAAGATTTATATAAGGAGTAAAAGTTGTAAAATATATTTTCGAATACTTCATATTTGAGCCAGAGTCACCTTTTAGGGCTACAGAGGTTAGACTGTTAAAAGGAAAACAGATGTATAGCACCTGATACAATATCAGTGCAAGAAAACTATAATAAGGAAGCAGCAGTGTAAGAAATATCTGTCAGATAGGTAACAGAGCACCTGATGCAGGAACATGTCTGATATGTCTTAGTATTGCAGAAGTGACTAATAACATAGAAGTGCTTTAAACAGTAAAGAAGGAGTTACTCATCCAATAAAAGACAGATGTTTCTGTTGAAGATACCAATTACTGTGGAAGCACTACACTTCAAGTTCAGCCCTGAAAGATGTAGCGTCTTCAAAACAGGCAGAGATAATCCACCTTCTGGGGCAATATAATGGACTTTTCCTTTAGTGCAACCTAACTCTATACAGCCTACTGTAAACACAACAAACATGAGAATCAGGCAAAACAGATGAGGTACTACCTCATACATGACCCCAATCCTTTCTGAAGCAATATACCTATTTAAAAGCCTTCAATATATTTTGCCAATAATTTTAATAAAATTAAACACAAGTTGTTAGTTCAAACATTATGGATAAATGATGTTTCTCCACTAAGCTTTTCCTTGGTATGGCTCTCCTCCCACCAGTATTTTCTTTTGGTTTTTTGAGCTTGTTAGGATTCAGTGATCCATGAATATGAAATAGTCTCAACAAGGTCTTCAGCTTGATTTCAGATGTTTGGCTTGAAAAATCCAGGATATCCTCTGCAAACATATCCAGAAGTGTTCGTGAACTTATCTCAATCATTAGCAGAATTAGCAGAAGACACAGTGAAAACTTTTTTTTTTTAAGTTATCTTGACAAGAAAAAAAAGAAGTGTCAGCTAAAGTAAGAACTTTGATCTATTTGATTACTCAAATGGAATCCAAGTCCAAATATATTTAAGACTACTTTTACCGGTCTCATTCAGGGTTATGATTATTATTTGACTCCATACCTGTTACTTGCACTTCTCACCTAAATAATCTATCCTGACCTCAAGTTTAACAGATAATCAACAAGTGTAATATACATTACACTGATCAGGAACATCTACACTTCATTGAGCTGTTACAAAAACTTCCTTTCAAACTGATGGTTCTTTTAAAAGCTATTATTCCATTGTTTAAAGATTACTCATACTTACTGTAGACTAATTTCATGTCACATATTGTTCATAAAGTGGCTTTTCATTTCAAATGACATCTTTGACACGACCAATTTCACAGTCCTTTTTGGCATTTATATAGTTTTCTCCAATTCCTTAGTTTTATTGCTTAAATTTACTCAGAAGAAAGAATTCACTGGTGCTTTGATTGCCATGGGATAGATAAGACAGTAAAACTCTACCTTTTTATTTTTTCTAAAGTAGAGAGGATTCAAACACACAATCAATTATAATATTTGTTCTTTACAAAAAGGTGGTCAGACACCATGCCAAAGAGTAGTTTAGTCACAGCAACAAGAGCTATTTTGGTAACTGAAGAGCAAGCAGCTGCATGAATTTCTAAATATGTTAAAGCATCTTCATAGCTCCTCCAAATTAAATTGCTTAACCAATTTTGTAAAATCTAATACCTGTTCTCTTTGTTGTAGTAATCAGTGAAATCGCTTCCATATCTTGTAGTGTTTCCTGTCTTGGTCTTCATTTCCTTGGCTTTAGAAGAGTCTACTTTATGATCATACTTGGACAGAATCTACAGAAAACATTAAAAGGGAATAAAAAGAATTATCTAAGAACTCAAAATAGGATTACACTTTATACATGTTTAGTAAGTAGTAGAAACTGTCTTTTTGAAGAACAAAATTGGATAACTAATTTTGCTATTTTGATATTAAAACTATTTAGAAAAAAAATAGCTAACCTGTAGAACATCATCTGGTATCCTTGTTATTTCTGGAGGTGGAGGAGTATTGAGTAACTGGTCATAGTGTTTTAGTTTGGGAGGAGAAGGGTCCCTCAAATGTTTAAGATACTCATCAGAGCTCACAGTAAAAGAAATGCTATCTTCTATGCGCTGTTTATCTGTTGCATCACTCTTTGTCACCGACTCAGTCTTTTCCCCCTGCTTTACCTGCTGCAAAAGAGGTATTAATTAACTGAAGGCATTTATCTTCAGTATTTAATAAATGTTCTTGCAAAATTCCCATTAGAAGGATCTTCTACAATGACACAAGAAAAAAGTAGCACTGAAACAAAAAATCTCAAACTGACATTTGAAAAACTGCTTAGGTAAAGAGTACATGAAAATGTACATAATTGCTATCTACTACCTCAGCTTCTGGTTTTAGCCATCGTGTTTCAAAATCTGGAAACTTCGGTGTTCCTGCATGACTGGGAGGAGGCCGTTCATTTGTCTGTGGTGACCTTGATAATACTGTATCATTTGCTCTGGAACTTCCATTTACATCAGGAGTATGGAACACAAGTATCCTAGGAGAAGGCATCCAGTTAGCTATTGAAATTGAGGGGAGGATTAGTAAAAAATAAAAATATATACATATACACACATATACATATATATTAAAAAAATACTACTAGTTCCAGTGCCCCAGTTTAGTTTTCTAAGTCTATTAGCTTTTTATAGATTTGCATATTCTAAAACATCTGTATCATTTTGGCTGGTATTTTTCATGTGAACAATCCAAATGACAGAATTCCATAAAAGCAGCAAATATAAATGTAAAAAACCCCAAAACTAGTTCCACTACCGAATATAACTGAAAAAGCTGTTATCGTTGCTTTAGCTTCTCATATATTCAATTGTTGATACATTTGTCCCAAGATCTTAATGCATTTTCAAGAGTACATATTATATCTCCTCTCAAAGAAATTTTAGCACTACTCTTGAAAGATATAAGTTAGTCTTGATAGCCTCTTTTAAAGGAGTTTCTTTTCTACCTCTAAACAGATCTAATGGCTATTCTCAGGACAGTATTTTTATTTTGAATAAGGATAAGTTGCAATTACAAAATGATAGATCTGTCTGCATAATTATAGATGCATATGAGTAGAAGAAAAAGGAAAGATTTATATTGAAGTGAGAAACTTTCCCATTGAAGCCACCAACATTTAATTTTCTAGACATTAGTACCCATACAATGACTGGGCCTGAATTAACTATATTTAACAAGAAACAGTTTAAAAGTTTTCCACGTGTTTCCAACGCATTTACACATGTACTATATAAAAAACGCATATACATATTTATTTCCCTTATTTTTAGCTTACCATTCTCAGCTGTTACTTTCGGTTTCAGCCCAGGAGTAACCATGATTTCCTTGGGTGTCATTTCTGGTAGATTCACTTCATGATCATATTTTTTAACCAACCTGAAAACCAAACCCCTCCAATTAGCTCTCAAGTAATATGAAGAAATCACACTTAGAATACTGTGAACGTGATCACTTTTCTAGCATTTGTTCATCAACCTGCAAATAAAAAAATTCAGCTCCTCAAAGATTATTTTTTCATAGATTTTTCATCTAGGATTCTACTGCAGCAGTTTGTAGCGTGCAAATGTTCAGTCCATCCACAAATTACACAAATGTACATCCACCCACACACTGAGATTTCATTCCCAAGCATAAAAATACTCCTCAAAATGAAAAAGAAAAAAGATAGGATCAAATTTTCTTTGTTCCAGATCATCAATTCTGTGTTAGGGATACAGTCTATTTTATTTTGAACTGCCTGTTGTCTACAAAATTCTAAACAAGAGGAAATCTTTTCAGCTCTTAAACGACTAATATTATTGTGAACGCTAAAGATTTTTAATTCAATTTTTAAGTTTGATTACTTATGTTAATCACTAGCTGAGTTCAGAGCGAAAAGCCATTTAATATCAATTCCACAAAAGTAGAAACTAAAATTTTTAAAATTATTTTTTCATATCAAAGATATTCTAGTGGAAGAAAGGTGTAGGCAGTTAAGAGAAAAATAGTAGACAAAAAGTGGAAGCTTACCAAAACTTTATACAAGAGTGAGTCTATAAAAAAAAATAGAAATTTTTAAAACGTTATCTTAACTATGAGAACCAGATATAGAGATCTCTACAAAAAGCCTAAACTTAAAAAAAAATAATCTGAGGCATTATATTTTACTTAAATATATCTCAAACTTTGAGTTAAAAAAGGAGTGATTTTTCAAGTCAGTTTTGCATTGGAAGTATTATACTCGAAACCATATGAACAGTAATTTTTACAATGGAGAAGAACAAGTATAACAAACACTTGCTCAGACACTTTTCCCCCCCTTGTGTTCTTTCCTGATTACTTTTGGTTTCAGTTTTGTAGTAGGTACACTGAAGTACATTGTTCTTTTCACCTGCTTCAGAACTGAAAAACAAAGTTGGAGGAGTTGGGGGTCTACTAAATATTTTTAAGAACTCTGATTTTTTTATTTTTTTTTTTTTTTTTTAAGTGGAATGCACAACTGCTAGACAGATTTCAGCTACATACAAGACCTAGCTGGCACAAGCAAGGGATATGTAAGGACAGGGTTGTCTCCAAGAAAGTTGTAATTATTACCTGTCTTTGTAACTGGAAACTACTGGTGTAAGGCTACCTCATTTTTACTAGGTTTTTTTTGTTTATCTTCCTTGGGAAGGAGATTCTGTGCATTGTCCGGTGTGAATTTTTTTTTTTTTTTAAATTTTCTAGCTTACTGTTCTGCCCATTTAACATGCTGAGCCTTCTCACTAAACAGTGAGATGAGTTTGGAGATAACAAGCTGTTTAATTGTTTCAACCTTTTTGATCAGACCCCACACTAAGTCTAACATGTTGAAAAATAAACTAAACAAATAATCTAAAAGACAGTTAACATTTTAACTCTAATGACTTAAGGTCATGACCTCTCACATATGTCACTAATTCTGAATCCAGACTTTAGTCTCAATTAGTGTGTGTCCATCTGTTTTGATCATTAATAATAATGATGTGTTAAAGAGCAATCATGCTGTAACTAATTCTCCACAGAATTTTAATGTCACCATTAGGGGTATGGAAGACAACTAATGTGATTTTTTTGGTGTTATATATAAATTTTGCTAGTGAACTGTGTAGTCACAGAAATAGAATCTACATTTGTGGATGTATCCATTTATAAATTACAGCCATAAAGCAAGCTGAAAAAACACATTTAAAACAATTCTTATTAAACAGGAAAACCACAAAAAGTTTTATATCTATCTATCTATCTATCTATCTCAAAATAACTTAAATTTTGCAATAAGTTGAAAATATTTTCAAAATATAATTTGAGATGGAACAATTTTTATATTAATATATTTCAGGATTTAGTAGGTTTTCTTGATATTACAATTCTAATACTATAAAGCTTTACAGACATTATAATATTTACATTCAGAAGGAGATTCCAAAACTATTTTAAATGAAAATGCATCCTTTCACTTTTTCACCCAGTAATCACACTCAAAATTCAACCATTGGAGTAAACTGGATCTTTGGGGAACACGGCATAGTTCTGAAGAACTTCACACCTGTGCCTATATTGCAAATATCAGGGATCAAAAACACCCAAACCAAAAACTTGAATGATTATTTCCACAACTTATTTTGAATATTTTTTTTCCAATTTCTCTACATACCAAATACTTAGCCACATAACAGTGAGTTCCTTTTAAATACTGTCAGATTTTAGATTAAATGTGTTGCTAACTATAAAAACATGATCTACCTACCTTTACAATACCTTAGAAGTATAGAAGAATACTCCTACTGCTAAAGTGCTCTACACCTCACTACTGCAAACTCATATTAATTAGAACAGTGAAAATCTGAAGATGTCTTTTCAACAAAAGACTGGAGAAATAAAAAGAGCTAACTGTTTGTAAGGTGGGGCTGGACAGCGTAAGAGATAATACTTTCTAAAAGAAGGCATTTTACTGAAAGCTTTGGAAGTTTTTTCCTGGTCTATATTACTAAACCTTTTGAAACCTTTAAACTAGCTACGTAATATCTACTGCAAACAATACATCCTCAAATTCAAATCCAAGGTTAAGGAAAGCAAAAGATCACAAATATGCTGCGCATTTTCCCTTTGTAAATAGACTACATGTGGAAGATTCTTATTGTGGTACAGTCAAGGTAAGGAGTATATCAGAGATGTGTTTCATGGCAGCATTTGGCACTGCAAAGTTGAATAAAGACACAGGACTAATCAGCTGGTAGATAACAACATATCACCTGCTTGAAGAAAAAGAAGAGCAATAGCTGCAAGAAATTAGTAAAGCAAAAAGAAACTTCAGAAAATACAGCAGAGAAACTGAACTTAAGTAATGTACTCACATCTTGCTTGTTTGAGCAGTTTTACGAATAAGTGACATTGTATAATCTTCATTCATACACATGGTATGTTCACTAATGCCAAAATGTTCAAGTTTCGGTGTTATGCACACATAATCATCCATCTTTAGCATACATTTTGGTGTTTTGGGTAAAATAGAGGGGGGCCATGTTTTTAATGGAGTCTTACTCCTTGAATTTTCTTGATTTGCATTTGTTGTGTGTTGAGTTTTCACCGCACTCCAAGGCCTGGAGAAAGCATATTGCGAAAGCCCAAAATCAGAAAGCTGAGGGTTACGCAGCGGGTCTTTGGGCACCTGTGGCTTCTCAGGACAACCAGGAAGTACATCATCGGCTTTTTTATCAGATTTATTCTGGACAGACATCGTTGAATCACTGTTAACTTCTACTTCATCCTTTTCTGTTTGAGAAAAGTAGTAATAAAGAAAAATTTATAAGTTTATGTTTTAAGAATTTATAAAATAAATTTGGACTTCCTTTCCTCATTTTTTTAAAAAATTATTATTGTAAAAAAGATTCCTTCTTTTAAAGTGCTGAACCTGAAGATACAACAGATATCAAAAGCTCGTATCAGGCTAAACTTATAATATAGGTCACACATTTACTGAATTTCACTCTATTGTTTCTAGGAAAAATGAAAGATTTTTACACAGGTGTATTTTTAATTGAATTCACCTCCCTGTATGGAGCAGGCAGGAAGTGCTAATCAAATATATTTATTTGTTTTGATTTTAGTGCAAGAGCGGAAATTAAAAACGTACCACAAATGACAATGAAAATAAAATCTGTCTAGAACTGAAAATGTTTTTGGGAAAGAGCAAAGGCTGCACACAGTACTAGAATGCTCATTCTTCAGAAAACAGTACTGAAGAAAGGTTATGAAGCAGCAAGTAAAACTCATGAGAGTCACTTTTTAGATAATGAGTGCACTGCAGAAATAAAGAAACATGTAATTTGTACATTTCTGTAGTTAAACTGAAACACCTCAAAATATTTGTGAATTTCTGCATGATGTAAGAAGCAGGGGGAAAAAAAGAATTATTTAAAACAACACAGCAGAGTCATTACCTTTTTATGTGTATTGGTATTATATATTCAGATACACTGAAAAATACATCTTAAAAAAATAAATTGACCTTGTAGCTCTGTTTGGAGTCTGCTTTAAATTCAGAGAGAGGACAGAAAGGAAGGTACTATAAAATTAGAGCCTTATGTCATATCTTTGTAAAACAGTTTTAGTAGCTTAACTCAGAGGTGAATATGGTCCATAACCACAGTTTTGTTCTGTGCAATGATGGGATGATGCTCAGGGGAGGGTTAAGGCATTCTCTCCAAGGACTTTGTGAAGATTGATTGGGCCCTTGATACTCAAAGGGGTACGTGTACTACTGACAGATGCAGAATTTAAACTCATTTGGCATATCTGCATTTTTCACACAGGTGTGTGTGCAGTTTCTGACTGGATTAAGGACACCCCTCCCCGACATGATCAAGCTACTAAACTACTACTGCTTGTCACATGTCACCTAATCCCCATACAACTCCTCTTGTTCCATTTGTGCTGTGGAGCATGTTATTTTAAAATTTTCCTTACGGTGAATTAAGTTAATGGAATCATCACATATAGCATCTGCAATAGCTTCCCATGAATGAGAAGCTGAAGCAGCATAATCCTGTGGGTTAGGAAAACATGTTTGCTAACATGTTTTCTGAATATAAGTATTATTGGAGAAAAAACCCAACACTACCCACTAACTTAAAAGCGTGCCAGGAGATCTAACTCTTTAAGTTTTTATATTTTGGTTTATTTTTATAGCACCAATCACAACTGAATCTTTTACCCTCTAGATATTATTATAAAGCAAATAACACAGATGTACTTGATCTCTTAATTAACAGAAAGATACACATAGCTGAAGAGAAACATTTTAGAAAATTACATTTGTCTTCACATACTATATTGCCAAGAAAAATTACCTGTAAAGTCTTTGCCATGTGGTTTGTAGCCATATTTCTGGAACAGTTCTCTTATTTTTCCAAGATCTGCTGCATTTCTTTGCATCAACATTTCACTTGTCTTCAAAAACTCGCGAATTTCTTGTTTTTCAGAGCAACTCTTATTGCAACTGTCATTAATCTCTTCCTTCAGGGGCAGAGGTGGGAACGGAAACAAAGAAATACCAGTTTTCAAAATCATCACATAGTAGTTGCTTACACATGAATTGTTATGAAAGTAAGTATTGAAGTTCAATTTAGATGAGGATATGCAGCAAATTCAGGTCTAATTTATACTTGAAAACTAGGTTACAAAATATCAGGATTATATAAGGGCATGAGTGGACAAAAGCTTAAAAAAGTTAAGCTAAGATGACAGTTTGTAGAATGATAACTACTTACTGGTAACCTGTCAAACAAAAAAATATACTTTTACTTCACAAAAACATGAGATAACAGCAATTAGTTGTGACTCTTACTCCCCATGTACAAAGAATTAGTGCAGAGCAGATGGTAAACCTCAAGTTTATATCCTAGCTTACTTCTCAATTATTTCTACCCTTGCTCTTTAGACAATTTTTCCTACTTCTATTAAAGAAACAAAGACCATTCTCCACAAATTTAACAAATGGCTGAAGGTACTGAAACTTCTGTGATTTTTTTTTTATTCTAAGTGCTAGTCATTGAACGCAAACAAGTGTACCTTTTCTCAAGGGAGCCGCTGCTCCTGGATCCTTCACCCCTATACCTACACCTTGGCACAGCTACAACTTTAGTCCCTGGTGATCTGAGTGACAAAGTGATTGCAAACTATTAAATACTGCTAAATCTACTCTAAGTCACCCATAAGCTTTTGGGCACTACCCCGACATCCACTGCCATTATGAAGACTTAGAGGTAAATGAATAAAATAAGGGTCAGAACTGCTAACTAACAAAGTTGTATTGTGACTTAATGATAAAAATAAAACCATGTTTATGGATACCACCCCCTCCACTCCCAGCCAATTTTTCAAGAAGGAAGCGAGTTAAGACATTACCTTTAGAGTCCTGATTTCACAAATTAAGTCATATAAGGCTCTTACTGGAGACTCATCTTCATAGTCTTTGATATGCATGTTCACATAAAAGGGTTTGGAGAGAAAAAAGGGGTATTTTAGTATGCAAGTACATTCTACATCAGAATATCTCTTATATTAGAGATGTTGGAGTCATATGTCAGAGAGTCAGGATAGAGAAAACCAAGGTGAAGCTAGTTCATATTAGGTACTTTGCATAGTGTAGGACTGCAATTTGCACAGTACGTTAAACTACACAAGAGAAACGGTACAGGCTTCCATTTTACTGTTATTACTAATACTTTGGAAATTAAATGTATAACAAATGTTGGTACAATAGGTAGATCCCTGGGCTATCAAGGATTATTTTATGTTGAATTTTTATCCTTAAAGAGTTTGAACTTGAAATAATACTAAAAATTTTAAAAAGAGATATAGACACCACCAAAAAACATCTGTCAACAAAAAGCTGAATTATTCTGCCTTATTTGCACGTGAGCAGATGTTAGTATGGTTCACTTACACATACACTATTCATTACTTAGTCCACTGAAAATCAAAGGTAATCCAAATAGTGTAAAAGAGGACACCTGCTATGTGACATAACACAGCAATAAATCCAATTAGGAGCTTCAGCTGTGCAGAGAGAACAATCCCTGCAAATGCCTTTTCGTGTCTCAAAGCAGGACCGTGATTCCCCGTTCATCCCGTTTTTCCTCGTGATAAAAGCTCACCTACACACCTCCCAAAGGGGCTCAGATAGACAACTGATATGAGGAGAAACCCAAATAATACCCTGCCGAGCTACTCCCAGGCTCATCCCCGGAACCATCAGCCCACCAGAGGCCCATCTCCGCATGCCCAGAGGAGCTTAGGGTCACAATGGCTGGCAGGAACCCCAATCAAGGACCCCCAAGGAACAACGGCCCCCCCGCTCCTCGGGCTACCCCAGCAGAACCATCAGCCCCAGCGTCCCTCTGTGACGCCCATCACCCGAGTCATGGGGAGCAGCTCTCCAGATCACCTTCGGACTGAGGCCTTGCTGCCTGGGGGGGGCGGACAAGCCAGCAAGAGCCCCGGCGCAGGGTGCTCAGCCGCGCCAGGAAGAGGAGGAGGCGAGGCCTGCGCTTACCCGTGTCCTCCTTGCGTAGGGCCCGCTCGAGCTGCCTCGCTTCATTCTCCAGCGTGAGGGCTAGGGCGCGCAGCTTACCGAAGAAGTCCCTCGAAATGTCCATCGCCCGGCGGGGCAGGGGTGCACCTGAGGGGCAGAGTCAGCGCCTCCCGGCGAAGGCCCCCCGATCCCGGCCAGCCCCAGACCACACGAACGGCCGATAGTGTCTGCCCGGGAGCGACTTTGAGGAGAGGAGAGGAGAGGAGAGGAGAGGAGCTGTCAGGAGAGGAGAGGAGAGGAGAGGAGAGGAGAGGAGAGGAGAGGAGAGGAGAGGAGAGGAGAGGAGAGGAGAGGAGAGGAGAGGAGAGGAGAGGAGAGGAGAGGAGAGGAGAGGAGAGGAGAGGAGAGGAGAGGAGAGGAGAGGAGAGGAGAGGAGAGGAGAGGAGAGGAGAGGAGAGGAGAGGAGAGGAGAGGAGAGGAGAGGAGAGGAGAGGAGAGGAGAGGAGAGGAGAGGAGAGGAGAGGAGAGGAGAGGAGAGGAGAGGAGAGGAGAGGAGAGGAGAGGAGAGGAGAGGAGAGGAGAGGAGAGGAGAGGAGAGGAGAGGAGAGGAGAGGAGAGGAGAGGAGAGGAGAGGAGAGGAGAGGAGAGGAGAGGAGAGGAGAGGAGAGGAGAGGAGAGGAGAGGAGAGGAGAGGAGAGGAGAGGAGAGGAGAGGAGAGGAGAGGAGAGGAGAGGAGAGGAGAGGAGAGGAGAGGAGAGGAGAGGAGAGGAGAGGAGAGGAGAGGAGAGGAGAGGAGAGGAGAGGAGAGGAGAGGAGAGGAGAGGAGAGGAGAGGAGAGGAGAGGAGAGGAGAGGAGAGGAGAGGAGAGGAGAGGAGAGGAGAGGAGAGGAGAGGAGAGGAGAGGAGAGGAGAGGAGAGGAGAGGAGAGGAGAGGAGAGGAGAGGAGAGGAGAGGAGAGGAGAGGAGAGGAGAGGAGAGGAGAGGAGAGGAGAGGAGAGGAGAGGAGAGGAGAGGAGAGGAGAGGAGAGGAGAGGAGAGGAGAGGAGAGGAGAGGAGAGGAGAGGAGAGGAGAGGAGAGGAGAGGAGAGGAGAGGAGAGGAGAGGAGAGGAGAGGAGAGGAGAGGAGAGGAGAGGAGAGGAGAGGAGAGGAGAGGAGAGGAGAGGAGAGGAGAGGAGAGGAGAGGAGAGGAGAGGAGAGGAGAGGAGAGGAGAGGAGAGGAGAGGAGAGGAGAGGAGAGGAGAGGAGAGGAGAGGAGAGGAGAGGAGAGGAGAGGAGAGGAG